CTTTTCTTGCAGAAATTAATTAAACCGATTAACAAGCTCGAGCTTATCTACAATCTCCACTTACATCACCCGTGAAAAGAAGCCCCGGAAAAAATCGGCGGGACAAAGCCGCAAATTGCTTCAGTCATGACATATCTCGTGCAGATCTGTGTCATCGCAAAAAATCTGGAGTAAATGCAGTTGCACAATCCCTCAAAAAAGACCTAGTCGAAAATAAAAACAATGCAGTGGCTCGACTGTGAAAGCTGGATATTTTTCGCAAGTGAGGAAAAATATGGATTTCTTCCGTTATTAATTATTTAGATAAAAGTGTCTGCGGCGCGGATTTAGTTCCTTATTGCCTTTTGTTTGCTTGTGAATTTGGCGTTTAGCGTGGAAATGTGGGATTTTGTCGGTGGGCCACCAACTGTGTCAGATCATACATAGATAAAACATGAAATGATATGCGAATTAACAACGTGAGTAAGTGTGATTATCGCACGATCTCGTTTCAAAACTAGGAAGAATTTTCCGACCGAATTTGGATTTTTTTTTGTTTTTGTTTCGAGGTTATAATAACTTATAATCCATCAGACCACCGTTTACGCACGTTTCTCCATCCGTGAATTATCGTCTCTTCCACCAATTACTCAAAACCTCCGCACTTTCTTTTCCCGATTAAGAAATTTCCAAAATCGCACGTCGAATAAATCAATTTCGCAGCCGGCGGACTCGCGCCGAATTCTCCGTAAAATTCCAGCTCGCACTCCACATTTACATAACGCTCCCATTGTCCCAGCGAAGGACGCAATCCTGTCATAATCGCACTAAGAGAAAAAATTCAAATGGACGAAATATGAATAGAGCGAGTTTGCTCGGTCACCTTAATTGTTTTTTTGTTGACCGGGTTCTGGTTAACAATGAAAAGATGCAAATGTGGTCTAGTCTGGGCGAAATTAATGAGTTATGAAATAGGTGCGGATCTCTAATGGGATGTGGTTGCATAATGTGGGGTTTTTTGCGCGCTGTTTGGAGGTTCTGTTGGTTTTGTAGAAAATTTCGCGGGATTGGAACGCATCTCGTGTTAAACCGCAGAGGTCTTCCTGGTCGACATCCTGGAGCGAGGTCATGCGAAACGGATCCGTGATCGAGGAGGAAATGATGGTAATTGGTTTGTTGCGGCTACTTGAACTTTGTTTGCTTTTAAAGCAAATGGAGGAATAAGTGATGTGATATTTGATCGGCGGGGTCTCGGAGAAGGACACTGGGTGTAGACCGGGAGGATTTTTCAGTTTCGGGTTCTGGGAACTGAAAAAGTTATCAAGTTTTGTGATGGAAGAAAACGTATGTGTTTTATTAATCGATACTGTCGTATATAATTGACATTTCCGCGTTGTCGGTTGTCATCGATTACATTTTAGGCTAATTGTAGACATACTTCACAATGTTTACAAAAAATCGAGGCCAACTTGATGACTTTTTAAAAGAATCTTGGGGGTCCCTGGTATTTTGAAAGAAAATTAAAAAAATATTGCAGCTCCTTGTGTCTCCTTCTCGGGAGCTCTTGGTATTTTATTTTATTTTATTTTATTTTTTTTTTTGTAAGAGTTTAAAGTGCACTTGGGGATCTCTAAGTGTTTTATTTTTGTAAGAGTTTAAAAGAATCACGAGGGTTTCTCGTGTTGTGTTTTTAAAAGTCTTTAAAATACCCACGGGGCCCTTGGTGTTTTATTTTTGTGATAGTTTGTAACAATTTCGGGGCCTCCTGATATTTTATTTACGTAACAGTTTAAAAGATTCTCGGGGGCCTTTGATGTTTTATTTGTAAAAGAATTTAAAAAAATCTTTAAGGCTCTTCGAGTTATATTTTCATAAGAGTAATAGAAAAATCTTGGAGGGGTTCCTGGTGTTTTATTTTATAACAATTTAAAATAATCTCGAGAGGCCTTGGTGCTTTATTTTTGTGTGTTTAAAAGAATCTCGGGAGTCCTTGGTATTTTATTTTCATAAGAATTTGAAAGAATCTTGGGGATTTCTGGAATTGTCTTTTTATAAGAGTTTTAAAAATTCTTGGATACCCCCAGGATTTTATTTTTGTAAAAATTCTCGATAATCGCAAGTGTTCTATTTTTGTAAGTGTTTAAAAGAATTTGGAGAGCTCTTGGTGTTTCATTTTCATAAAGATGAAAAAAATCTTGGGAATTCCTGGTGTTGTCTATTTATAAGAGTTTTAAAAAATCTTGGAAGCTTCGGTGTTTTATTTTTGTAAGTTAAACACTTACATTCTCGGGAACCGTTGATGTTTTATTTTTATAACACTTTAAAAGAATCTCTGGAGTCCCTAATGTTTTATTTTTGCAAAAGTTTAAAGAATTTCCAGAGACCTTGGTGTTTTATTTTTGTGAGTTTAAAAGAATCTCGGTGGTGCTTAGTGTTTTATTTTTGTGAGAGTTCAAAAGAATCTAGAAGTTTCCTCGTATTTTATTTTTGTAAAAGTTTAAAACACTCTCGGGGGCTATTGGTGTTTTATTTATATCTATAAGTGGTTAAAAGAATCTTGAAAATGCCTAGTGTTTTTTTTTTTGTAAGAGCTTAAAAGATTCTCGGCCGCCCTTGGTATTTTATTTTTATAAGAGTTTTAAAGAATTTTGGGCGGGTCCTAGTGTTTTAAGCGAGTTTAAAGCACTCTTGGGTATCTCAAAGTGTTTCATTTTTGTAAGAGTTTAAAAGAATTTTGACAGTCCTTAGTGTTTCTATTAGAATTTAAAAGAATCTCGGAAACCTCTGGTGTTTTATTCTTATAAGAGTTTAAAAGGATCTTCAGGGTCCCTAGTGTTTTATTTATGGTAAAAATTAAAAAAAAAATTCGATAGCCCTTAGTGTTTTTATAAGAATTTAAAAGAATCTCGGAAGCCTCTGGTGTTTTATTTTTATAAGAGTTTAACAGAATCTTTAGGTTCCCTAGTGTTTTGTTTTTATGAGAGTTTAAAAAATTTGGGAAGTGTTTTATTTTTGTAAGGGTTTAAAAGAATCTCGGGAGCCCCACATGTTTTATTTTTGTAAGAGTTTAAAAGAATTTCGATAGAATTTGGTGTTTTTATAAGAATTCAAAATAATCCCGGAAGTCTCTGGTGTTTTATTTTTATAAAAGTTTAAAAGAATCTTTAGCATCTCTTGTGTTTTATTTTTATGAGGGTTTAAAAAATTTCGGAAGTTTCTCGTGTTTTATTTTTGTGAGGATTTAAAAGAATCTCGGGAGCCCTTGGTATTTTATTTTTATAAGAGTTTTAAAGAATTTTGGGCGGGTCCTAGTGTTTTAAGCGAGTTTAAAGCTCTCTTGGGTATCTCAAAGTATTTCATTTTTGTAAGAGTTTAAAAGAATTTTGACAGTCCTTAGTGTTTCTATTAGAATTTAAAAGAATCTCGGAAACCTCTGGTGTTTTATTCTTATAACAGTTTAAAAGGATCTTCAGGGTCCCTAGTGTTTTATTTATGTTAAAAGTTTAAAAGAATTTCGATAGCCCTTGGTGTTTTTATAAGAATTTAAAAGAATCTCGAAGCCTCTGGTGTTTTATTTTTATAAGAGTTTAAAAGAATTTCGATAGAATTTGGTGTTTTTATAAGAATTCAAAATAATCTCGGAAGCCTCTGGTGTTTTATTTTTATAAAAGTTTAAAAGAATCTTTAGCATCTCTTGTGTTTTATTTTTATGAGGGTTTAAAAAATTTCGGAAGTTTCTCGTGTTTTATTTTTGTGAGGATTTAAAAGAATCTCGGGAGCCCTTGGTATTTTATTTTTATAAGAGTTTTAAAGAATTTTGGGCGGGTCCTAGTGTTTTAAGCGAGTTTAAAGCTCTCTTGGGTATCTCAAAGTATTTCATTTTTGTAAGAGTTTAAAAGAATTTTGACAGTCCTTAGTGTTTCTATTAGAATTTAAAAGAATCCCGGAAACCTCTAGTGTTTTATTCTTATAACAGTTTAAAAGGATCTTCAGGGTCCCTAGTGTTTTATTTATGTTAAAAGTTTAAAAGAATTTCGATAGCCCTTGGTGTTTTTATAAGAATTTAAAAGAATCTCGAAGCCTCTGGTGTTTTATTTTTATAAGAGTTTAAAAGAATTTCGATAGAATTTGGTGTTTTTATAAGAATTGAAAAGAATCTCGGAAGTCTCTGGTTTTATAAAAGTTTAAAAGAATCTTTAGCATCTCGTGTTTTATTTTTATGAGGGTTTAAAAAATTTCGGAAGTTCTTCGTGTTTTATTTTTGTAAGGGTTTAAAAGAATCTCGGGAGCCCCACATGTTTTATTTTTATAAAATTTTAAGAAAATTTCAGGGGCCCCTGGTGTTTTATTTTTGTGAGTTTCAAAGGATTTCGGGCGTCCTTGGTGTTGATAATACTTACCTTGAACTGTTTCATTCTTTGAACATATTTTTATCGCTTCATCGTAAAAATTCATATTTTACTGTTACTATTATATATTTTTTCTTTCTACACATTCTTCAACTAATATAAGACCAGAAAGAGAAAAGTTGCTTCAGGACAGAAAAACTGGAGCATTCTTAGCTTGATTTAAAGCGTGAAAAAAATCCTGCAGATGTTAGTGTGACCTGATACAAATAAACCCAAGTAAAAAATAAATAAAAAAAAATATTTCACTTTTACTTATTGTTAGTAATTCATTTCTATTTAAGTACTTTCTCTTCATGAAATGCCACTTTTTTTTTTAGTTTATATCTTCTATTTTTATTTTTAATCTCTCTTACTACTTATATCATGTTTAGAGTGTTGTTACATCTTCATTTTTTGTTTTGCCAGAAATTATCTTAATTATTCAACTATTTGCAGAATTAAAGATAAATTAAACTAATGTTAGGCTCGCGTGACAAGCATGTAACCATTAAGTGAAATAAAAAAAAAGGTGTCTGTGTTAAATTTGACATGATTTCTTAACAAATGAATAAAAGGAGACAAGATATGAATCTCAGTAAGTAAAGGGAATTACATAAGAAGTAAAAAGGCAGCTTTTAATAACTAAATATAGATTTATTAAAATATATTATTTACATATTTGGTATCATAAAACTATGACACTTATAATTTTCTCCACATAATTTAACCAACATGTCAAAAAAAAAAAAATAAAAAAATTGTTGCATTGGCACTGAATTTCTCCACCCCCGCCCCCTCACTGCTCCTTCCTGTACAAATACTTCTCGTCCTTGCTATCATAAACCGAATTCTCCTGCTCCTCATCCCGTCTAGGCTCAGCATAGACGAGCTGAGGAATGTAATAGCGTACTCCCGACGAATAAATTATCCCAATCTGAGGCACCCTCTTCTCCTGCCTCTGCAACTTCTGCTCATAGTACTGAGGCTTAATGTACCTCACATCCGCCCTATCCTTCGCCTTCTGCGCCTCGATCACCTGCCAAACCAAAAACCTCACTCTCTTCAATCACCCCTCACCCTCGCTACTACCTCATACTCCTGCCTCTCGAACACGTGAGGCCCGGTGTAGCCCACCCCCTCGCTCCGACTCTGCTTCCTATACACGTCCGCTTTCTCAATCGAAGGGGTGTACTTCTGGTCCACGGGCGTCCCTAAAGCCAAATCCGCCGGCGGCCGCTGCGAATAAATCCTATTCCGGTACTGGTGCGGCACCGGAGCGCGGTACACGTGCGGGTTCGGAACGTCCTCGGGTTCTTCGGAAACCGGAGCCGGCTCTCGCGCGTCCAAGCTCCGGGGAGCCGGCCGCGGCGTCTCGGTGGGGGGCTCGATGGGTCCTTGGTGGGTGCCGAACGTGACCATGATGGGCTTGGCGGTGGCCAAGGTCATCAGGCCCAGCAGGAAGATCTGGAAGTGGAAAGAGTGAGTTGTGTGGTTGCGGGTTCGGGATGGCAAGAGGACGGCGAGACTTTCTCTTATGTAAGAAAGTTAATTGTGGCGGTGCAACAAGAGATCGTGGACATTCACTGAATTATCTAACGTTAAAATGCAGAGCGGGTGCTTCCTGCTGTGCGGCGGCAAGAGGCGGCGAGATGGGAAAGTTCGAGATGGAAATTACGGTGTGGTTAACAGAGTGGAAATGGAGGATTGCGCTGATTTGGGGTATCGCGGGATCCCGTTTTGGTCTGCTGTGTTTCGGGGTTTACGGCTGTGATGTAACTGAGGCTGGAACTTTTCTTTTAATGTTTTGATGAGCACTTAAAATTATTTTTTTATAAAATATCTAACTAATTTTGAATACTAGTTTGGAGTTATTTAGAAAGTACTTTCCTCGCCCCTGAAGCACTGATTCTTATTTTGTTTTATTTTTTTTGATAACATGTAGCCGCTTTTGGTTTAATCTATTGAACGATTTTTTTTTAACATTCTGTGTAAACAATTATAAAACAATCTGCAGCACCAAACAACGTTGCATTTCGAAGAACATTTTTTAAAAACTTTTTTTGCATTTTTGCGCTGATGTCATTTACTAGAAAGGATGACTAAACAAATTTTGATCATTGCTGTGTAATCATTAAATCAATACTCGTATATTCCCAAGATTTGAAAACTATTCTAAAATTTTGTTTTACCCAGTGTTTTTTATTTTGTTTTAGAAATAATTTAAATACATTTTGAGAAGACTTTGGTGTCTTGTTTTTGAAAGAATTTGAAGGCGTCTTTAACTTTCTAGGGAAAATAAATAAACAAATTTTCATCGTTGTCGTCTTATCATTAAATCAATGTCAACAAAATTTCTAAGAAAGCCGTTTTATATTTTGTAAATTCAACTGAACAAAGATAACAAAAAGAACTAAAAGAACATAGGGGACAGAGGGAACTCAGAGAACAGAAAGAACGGAGAGAACATGGGAAACAGAAAGAACAGTGAGTATAGAGAACACATAGGGAATAGAGAGAACAGAGAGAACATGGAGAAGAGAGCGAATATTTAGAACAGAGGGGACAGAGAAAACAGGGAGGAGAGAGACAATAGAGGGCACAGAGAGAATTGACAAAAAGTAAGACCAGAGAGAATAGAGGGAACAGAAAGAAGAGAGAGAAAAAAACAGAAGGAACAGAGGGAACACAGAGAATTGAATGAATAGAAGTGCCAGAGAGATCAGAAAGAATAGAGAGAATTCAGAGAACATAGGGAACAGAGAGTATAGAAGGGGCAGGGAGAACAGAATGAACAGTGATAATAAGGACAACAGAAAAAACGGAAGAACAAAAAGAATAGAGGGCATATAGAGAATTTACAAAAAAAATAAGGACAAGGAGCACAGGGGAACAGAGAGAACAGCAGGGACAGAGAGAATATAGAGAATAGGAAAAAGTGAGACTGGAAAATAGAGCACAGAATTAAGAAAAGATAGGTGCCAGAGATAATCGAAAAAACAGATCGAAGAGTGGGAACAAAGAGAAAAGAAGAAATAGAGAGAACAAGGGAGAACAGAGAGGACATAGAAAATAGTGGGAATAGAGAGAAAAGCGGGGATGAAGAGTACCGACAGAACAAGAAATATGGAGATCGTACAGTACAAAGGGACCAGAGAGAACGGTGAGAACAAAGAAAATAGGGAGAACAGAAGAAACAGAGAAAACATGGAAAACAGAGGAAGCAGAGAAAATAAAGGTAATGTGGAGAACGGAAAGAACATTAAGAACAAAGACAACGGAAACCATAGAAGGCACAGAGAGAGTTGACAAAAAATGAGAACAGAGAAAATAGAGGGAACAACAGAAACAGAGAGAACAGACGGAACAGGAAGAAAAGATAGAAAAGAACCGGAAGGACAGAGGGAACACAGAGAATTGAGAGAGCAGAAGGGCCAGAGAGATCAGAAATAATAGAGAGAATTCAGAGAACATAGAGAACAGAGTACAGAGGGCACAGACAGAACATAAAAAACATGGGGAACAGAGAAAATAGAGCGAACAGTGATAATGGGGAGACCAGAAAGAGCAAAAGAACAAAAAGAACAGAGAATAGATGGCATATAGAAAATTTACAAAAAAATTAAACACAAGGGAATCAGGGGAACAGAGAGAACAGCAGAGACCGAGAGAATAGAGAGAACAGGAAAAAGGAGAATGGAAAACAGTGACAACAGAATTAAGAAAACATAGAGAACAGAGATAATCAAGAGAACAGATGGAATAGAGAGAACAAGGAGAACAGGAAAAAGGGAAATCTTACAGTACAAAGGGACCAGAGAGGAAAACGAGAACAAAGAAAATAGGGAGAACAGAAGAGACAAAAAAAAAACAGCGAGAACAGAGGAACCAGAGAGAACAACAGGAACAGATAAAATAGAGAGAACAGAAAGAAGGGAGAGAAAAAAGCAGAAAGAGCAGAGAAAGCACAAAGAATTGAGAGAACAGAAGGGCCAAAGAGATCAGAAAGAATAGACGAATTCAGAGAACATGGGGAACAGGGAGTACAGAAGGCACAGACAGAACATAAAAAACAGGGGTAATAGAGAAATCGGAGAGAACAATGATAATAAGGAGAACAGAAAGAACGAAAGAACAAAGAAAACAGAGATAGAAGAAATCACATAGAGAATTTACAAAAAATTAATGAATAGGAGAACAGGAGAACAGAGACAACAGCAGGGACAGAGAGAATAGAGAGAAAAGGAACAAGAGAGGATGGAAAACAGGGAGAAAAGAATTAAGAACATATAACAGACATAATCGAGAGAACACATGGATTAGAGAAAAGATAACAGAAGATATAGAGAGTACAGAAGGCGTAGACAGAATAGAGAGAACATAGAAAACATAGATAGCAGAAATAATAGAGAATACAGAAAAAGCAGGGGAAACAGAGAGAACAAGGGATACGGAGAGGACTTAGAAAACAGGGGGAACATAAAGAAAAGGGAGGATGAAGAGAAACGACAGAATAAGAAAAAGGGAAAACTTATAGTACAAAGGAACCAGAGAGAAAGGCGAGAACAAAGAAAATATGGCGAACAGAAGAGACAAAAAAAAACAGCGGGAACAGAGGTAATGTAGAGAACAGAAAGAACATTAAGAACAAAAAGAACGGAGACCATAGACGGCACAGAGAAAATTAACAAAAAATGGAAAAGGAATGGAGAGAAAAAACAGAAAGAACACTGGAAACACAAAGAATTGAAAGAACAGAAGGGCCAAAGAGATCAGAAAGAATAGGGCGAATTCAGAGATCATAGGGAACAGAGAGTACAGAAGGCACAAACAGAACATAAAAGCAGAGAAAGCAGAGAGAACAGTGATTGTAGGGAGAACAGAAAGAACAAAAGAACAAAGAGAACATAGAGAGTAGAGGCCACATAGAGAATTGACAAGAAACTAAGGAATAGGAGAACAGAAGAACAGAGAGAATAGAAAGAACAGGGAAAACATAAATGACAGAAACAACAGAAAATACAGAAAAACAGAGGACACAGGGAGAACATTTGAATACAGCGGGAATAAAGAGAAAAGAGAGGATGAAGAGGACAAACAGAACAAGAAATAGAAAGATCTTATAGCACAAAGGGGTCAGAGAAAAGGGCGAGAACAAAGAAAATTGGGAGAACAGAGGAAACAGAGAAAATAAATGCATGTGGAGAACAGAAAGAACATTAAGAACAAAGAAAACGGAGAGCATACAAGGCATAGAGAGAGTTGACAAAAAATGGGAACAGAGGGAATAGAGGGAACAACAGGAACAGAAAGAATAGGGGGAACAGGCAGAAGAGAGAGAAAAAAACAGGAAGAACAGAGGGAACACAAAGAATTAGAAAAACAGAAGGGCCAGAAAGATCAGAAATTAGAACAGAGATCCATAGAGAACAGAGTACATAGACGGAACATAAAAAAACAGGGAAACAGAGAAAACAGAGCGAAGAGTGATAATAGGGAGAACAAAAAGAGTAAAATAAAGACAAGAAAAGCACGGGAACAGAGAGAACAGGAGAGACAGAGAGAATAGAGAGAACAGGGAAAAGAGCGAATGGAAAACAGAGAGAATAGAATTAAGAAAACATGTGATAATCAAAGAACATATGGAATAGAGACAACAAAGGGAACTGAAGAAATAAAGAGAACCCAAAAACATAGGGAACAGAGACTACAGAGGGCGTAGGCAAAATAGAGATAACAGAAATAATAGAGAAGACAGAAAAAACAGGAGAAACAATGAGAACAAGGGTGAACAGAAAGTACAGGTGGAATAGAGAAAAAAGCGAGGATGAAGAAAACAGACAGAACAAGAAATAGGGAGATCTTACAGCACAAAAGGACCAGAGAGAACGGCGAGAACAAAGAAAATTGGGAGGTAGAAGAGACAGAGAAAACAGGGAGAACAGAGAAAGCGGAGAGAAAAAAGGTAATGTGGAGAACAGAAAGAACATTAAAAACAACTAAAACGGAGACAATAGAGGGCACAGAGAGAATTGACAAAAAATGGGAACCGAGGGAATAGAAGGAGAAGACAGAAAAAAATTGGAAAAAACAAAGGGGACGCAGAGAATTGGGAGAACATAGGGATCAGAGAGTACAGAGGGCCCAAACAGAACAGAAAAAACAGAAAGAACAAAAGAACAGTGAGAATAGAGGGCATATAGAGAATTTACAAAAAAATAAGGACAAGGAGAACAAGGGAACAGAGAGAATAACAGGGGCAGAGAGAATAGGGAGAACAAGAAAAAGAGAGAATAGAAAACAAGGAGAACAAAATTGAAAAAACATAGGGGACAGAACTAATCGAGAGTACAGATTGAATAGAGAGATCAAAGAGAACAGAAGAATTAGAGGGAACTCAGAAAACACAGGGGAAACAGAAAGCACAGCAAGAACGAGAGTAACAGAGGGAACCACATGACAGACAG